CTCATACACACAGTCTCTCGCTCTCACATACACACACCTAGTCTCTCACACACACACCTAGTCTATCTCTCTCTTTCACACACACACACACACATACACACAGTCTCACACAGACACACGCAGTCTCTCTTTCACACATACACAGTCTCATACGACACAGTCTCGTTCTCACATACACACATCTAGTCTCTCTCATACACCTAATCTCTCACTCTCTCTTTTTCGCACACATACACACACACACACACACACAGAGTTTTATACACACAGTATCTCTCTCACTCACACACACGCGCAGTCTCCCTCTCTCTCTCTCACATACACACAGTCTCTCTCTCTCACTCACACACATACATGCACACATAGCTTCTCTCACACACATGCGCACACAGTCTCTCTCTCTCACATACACACACCTAGTCTCTCTCTCTCTCTCTCCTTCACACACACAGTTTCTCACACATAGTTTCACACACAGTGTCTCTCCCACACACATGCTTACGCACACACAGTCTCTCTCTCACACCCATACACTCAGTCACACACACACTCAGTCACACACACAAATAAACACACACAGTCTCTCTCTCATACACACACACCTAGTCTCTCTCACATATACATGCACAGTCTCTTACTCACACAGACACAGTCTCTCTCTCTCACACACCCCCACACACACAAACACACACACAGCCTCTCTCTCTCACACACACACACACACACACACACACACACAGTCTTATACACACAGTATCTCTCTCTCTCACACACACACAGTCTCTCTCTCTCTCACACCCATACACTCAGTCACACACACAAATAAACACACACAGTCTCTCTCTCATACACACACACCTAGTCTCTCTCACATATACATGCACAGTCTCTCACTCACACGCAGTCTCTCTCTGTCTCTCTCACACACACACCCACACACACAAACACACACACACACACACAGAGTCTCTGTCACACACACACACACACACACACAGTCTTATACACACAGTATCTCTCTCCCTCACACACACAGTCTCTCTCTCTCTCTCACACCCATACACTCAGTCACACACAGCCTCTCTCACACACAGTCTCTGTCTCTCACACACACATACAAACACACACACACACACACACAGTCTTATACACACAGTATCTCTTTCTCACACACAGTCTCTCTCTCTCTCACACCCATACACTCAGCCACACACACACATAAACACACGCAGTCTCTCTCTCTCTCTCACACACCCACACGCACACACACACACAGTATCTCTCTCTCTCACACACACACAGTCTCTCTCTCTGTCACACCCATACACTCAGTCACACACACACATAAACACACACAGTCTGTCTCTCTCTCTCTCACACACACACACACTCACCTAGTCTCTTTCCACACACACACATATAGATAAAAATGAGGAAATGTTAGGATTTAAGTCAAACAATGTATTTTTGCCCACATGCAAAAGTGTGTGACCAGCGATGTCTACATCGACAGTTTAAGAAGCTTTGTCTTGATACAAAGAGGAGGTTGGGGACTGAGCCAGGAAAGGCAGTCTGTCAAAAAGGAGTGAGCTGTTTGGGCCTAATGGTGTCCTTGTTTTATTAACCTTTGGCACTGTATATCTGTCAGGGCTGGGTGGCGATAAGTTAGCCTCGCCGGATGAAAGCAGTTACTCCCTAAGAACATCTATCCAACTCATCAAATTCCTACTTGTCCCGCACAGCAACAGCTTTGGAGTGTGAGCCATCAACTTGCTCCGTCTCCCCTCCTGTCTTTTTCCTGTCCGATTCACCGGTGTGTGGGATATAGCCTGCTGAGGGGGAGGGTGGGGGGGCGGTGGAATCCCCTTAAAAGTTCGTGGGGCTTTGAACAGCAGTTCAGTCGAAGAGACAGGGGAGCGCTGAGGCGTGGGGTAAGGAGGGGCTGGGCCAGAGGGGAAAATTGGGTTCAAAGTGAGTGGCAAAGCAACACATGCAGTTTAAAAAAAATATACACCCCTTTTTTATTAAGCACAGCGAGCGTTTAGGATCTGGCGTGCCTGAGGACACGGTGAGTGGGGCCGGGGGGGGAGGGGAGGTGGCCGGGGGGAAGATGGCGATCAGATAGCAACCTGAAGGGGCAATATTGGCAGGGTTACTTGGAAAGAGCAGGGGGCGAGTGAGGCTTCCATGAGAGGAGCCAGGAGCCTGGGATGAGGCTGAGCAAGGCTCTGGCCCGGCTCAACATCCGTGACAAGTTGTTACTCCCTGAAAGGGTTGGCTGCGTGTTCCTGAGCACATCGTTCAACTGAGGGAAGGGGGCCCACAGTGTAGGAAAAAGCCATGCACGGCACCTTGTTTTACATGAAAACGTAAAGCGATTGATCACAGGGGAAGCACCATCGAGCCCTGGCAGCTGTCAGATACTCAGATAACAAGGTGTAGGGCTGGATGAACACAGCAGGCCAAGCAGCATCATAGGAGCAGAGAGGCTGACGTTTCGGGTCAAGACCCTTCTTCAGAAATGGGGGAGGGGAAGGGGGTTCTGAAATAAATAGGGAGAGAAGGGAAGGCGGATAGAAGATGGATAGAGGAGAGGATAGGTGGAGAGGAAACAGACAGGTCAAAGGGGCGGGGATGGAGCCAGTAAAGGTGAGTGTAGGTGGGGAGTTAGGGAGGGGATAGGTCAGTCCAGGGAGGACGGACAGGTCAAGGGGGCGGGATGAGGTTGGTCGGTAGGAGATGGGGGTGGGGCTTGAGGTGGGAGGAGGGGATAGGTGGGAGGAAGAACAGGTTAGGGAGGCGGGGACGAGCTGGGCTGGTTTTGGGATGTGGTAGGGCGAGGGGAGATTTTGAAGCTTGTGAACTCCACATTGATACCATTGGGCTGCAGGGTTCCCAAGCGGAATATGAGTTGCTGTTCCTGCAACCTTCGGGTGGCATCGTTGTGGCACTGCAGGAGGCCCAGGATGGACATGTCGTCTGAGGAATGGGAGGGGGAGTTGAAATGGTTCGCGACTGGGAGGTGCAGTTGTTTAGTGCGAACCGAGCGTAGGTGTTCTGCAAAGCGGTCCCCGAGCCTCCGCTTGGTTTCCCCGATGTAGAGGAGTCCACAAGCTTCAAAATCTCCCCTCCCCCTACCGCATCCCAAAACCAGTCCAGCTCGTCCCTGCCTCCCTAACCTGTCCTTCCTCCCACCTATCCCCTCCTCCCACCTCAAGCCGCATCCCCATCTCCTACCTACTAACGTCATCCCGCCCCCTTGACCTGTCCGTCCTCCCTGGCCTGACCTATCCCCTCCCTAACTCCCCACCTACACTCACCTTTACTGGCTCCATCCCCGCCTCTTCGACCTGTCTGTCTCCTCTCCACCTATCTTCTCCTCTATCCATCTTCTATCCGCCTCCCCCTCTCTCCCTATTTATTTCAGAACCCCCTTCCCCTCCCCCATTTCTGAAGAAGGGTCTAGGCCCGAAACGTCAGCCTTCCTGCTCCTCTGATGCTGCTTGGCCTGCTGTGTTCATCCAGCTCTACACCTTGTTATCTCAGATTCTCCAGCATCTGCAGTTCCTGCTATCTCTGTCAGATACTCAGTTCAGCTCGTCAACCAAAACGTCAAATAGAGCAGCAGTATGAAGCAAAAATAAGAGGGCTTCCTTCTATTCTGCCATTTATGTGCCTTTTCTCTCTTTATTCGCACATGGCTGGGTGGGGTGTCGCCGGAAAATGCCAACGTTGGCTGCCCCGTGCCTGACTGTCCTTGAGCCTGCGAGGGCCACTTCGCAGAGCAGTAATGTGTCAACCACACTGCCGCGGGCCTGGAGTCACGTGTAGCGCAGCAGGTGGGTTTGTCTCAACAACCGGCGACACTCTCACTGCCACCGTGCCTGAGCACTTTGCTGGGCCATGGCGGTTCCCAAGTTCATGCTCTTGAGTCACGGGGTTTCAAATACCACCGGGTGGAGCTCAAACTCACCGATAAATTAAATCCGGGATGTAAAGCCGAGGGCGGGTGTCCGTAATGCCGAGCATAACAACTCTCATCGGTGGTCTTATTTAAAAACAAAAACAAAAACAAAACGCAGCTGGTTCTCTAATGTCCTTCATGGACGGAAATTGGCCACCTGGCCTGTACATGACCCCCACAGGCCCACAGCGATGTGACTGACCCTGTCAGTCCGAGATGGATATGGAAATGGGCAATAAATGCTGACGATACCCACAGCCAATAACAGGATGGGCACAGAAGAGAAACCCGTCAGGGTTGCAAGTGATTACAGAGATAGGGAGAGGTAAGGACACAACGCGATTTGAGAGCAAGGGCGGGGGGGGCAATGAAGATCAGGGAGCGTGGGGCGAGACACTGGAGAAACATTCCTCAGACTTTCACAGGCAGCAGGCCCACACACACACACACACACCCAACATCAATGGAACGGACCAGGGTGGTGAATCACAGGCAAGCAGATGCACAATGCGAGATGTTGGAGTTGCACGGGGGGAATGGAGGGGAACGCGCGCAACACACACACAGATGCAACCACAGAGATGCGTGCACGCACATGCACACTCGCACCCACACACGCGCGCCCACAGACACGCACACGCACATGTGCACCCACACATGCGCGCACCCACACAGACACGCACACAGACACGTGCACCCAGACAGACACGTGCCCACACAGACACGCTCCCACACAGACACGCGCCCACACACACACATGCACACACACACGCACACACACACACACACACACACACACACACACACGCGCACTCACACACAGACATGCGCACACACATGCACACACACACGCATTCTTTTCACGGTCTATAACGTTAGAGCAGCCGAGAGAGGAGAGGGAATCGAGTGTTAGAGATAGAATAAAGAGCGACACATTGAGCTGACAGAACACCAGGCACAGGCATGTGCGCGCGCACACACACATGCACAAACACACACATGCACAAACACACACACACACGCGCGCGCATGTGGACACACACATACAGTGTGTACCATCTACAAGATGCACTGTAGGAATTCACCAAAGATCCTTAGACAGCACCATCCTAACCCACGGTCACTTCCATCTAGAAGGACAAGGGCAGGAGATACATGGGAACACAGCCACTTGCAAGTTCCCCTCCAAGTCACTCACCGTCCTGACTTGAAAATATATCGCTGTTGCTGGGTAAAAATCCTGGAATTCCCTCCCTAAGGGCATTGTGGGTCAACCCACAGCAGATGGACTGCAGCGGTTCAAGAAGGCAGCTCACCACCACCTTCTCAAGGGGCAACTAGGGACGGGGCAAGAAATGCTGGGCCCAGCCAGCGACGCCCATGTCCCGTGAAACGAACACATCCCAGGAGAGAATGAGGAAAGGAGCATAACGGCAACGGGTCTCACTGGTGCCCTTTGTCGCTGGGCGTTTGCTCTACGGTCAGCGAGGCTGTCGATGGCACTTACCCGCAGCTCCACCCACTTGTCCAGGAGCCTCTTGTCGCTGAACTCGCACAGGAGGCCCGAGGTGGTGATGCAGAACGTGCTGTCGGCCTTCCTGCTGCACCCGCACGCCACGTCGCTGAAGAAGTTGTTACGCAGCTCGCCCAGCAGGCCTGACCGACCCAGCAGAGGCACCGTGGCATTGACCTGAAGCACAGAGGGGTCTGGGTCAGCGGGTAATCCTCGGGCACAGTAGAGCGAGGGTCAGGAGGACACTGGGAGGAGCAGGAGCAAGGGGGAAACAGCGGGAGACCGGGCTGGAGGGGAAGGGAAGCAGGCATGGGCCGCTGGGGCCTCATCTTCACCTACTCAACCCCCGCTCACTTCGGCAGAGTTAAAATTGGAGAGAGGCAGCTAAACACGCAGAGTGAGCGAGACAGAGATAGAGACACACACACAAATACTGTCCTTCAGTACAGCCGTGGGGTGGGGAGGGGTCAAAATCCTGGAATTCCCTCTCAAGGTCATTGTGGGTCAATCTACAGCCCACGGACACACCTTCCCGTACTGTCCTCAGGATTCTGAGGGAGGTGAGCTGTACTGGACCCAACCCATCAAGGCGGTCATCTCAGGTGACAAACCAGCCAGCTCCCGAAGACGGAGTTTTAAAAATCATTAGGGGAGCGAATCTTGGCGGAATTGAAACTCTCCAGCCCGGGCAACATCCTGGTAAAATCTCCTCTGCACCCTCTCCAGTGCTTTCACATCCTTTTATGATGTGGAATCCTGAACCGCACACAGTACTCTAGTTGCAGCCTGACCGATGTTTTATACTCGTCTTAAACTCTACACTTGGGGCTAATAAAGGCAAGTATCCTATAGAACTTCTTATTCAATGTATCTACCTGTCCCACTACCTTAAGAGACTGGTGGGCACAACACACCACAATGTCCCTCTGAGCCTCTTCCCAGGATCCTACCGTTTGTCACTGTAGCCACTGCAATGGCTTTCTACAGCCTCTTTCCCCTTTAGAACACATCTCTCTGGCAATGGGAATCGTATTGGCATCGTATCCAGGTAGAAATGCTGACTGATTATCTTCTAAACCACTGACTCCAGTTTACCTTGGAATTAAATAGGCAGTTTAAAGTGTAGTCATTGATAGAACCCAATGTTCCTTACACCTCCCTGAGAGCCCTGGAAACAGCTCCACTCCTACAGTCAGAACAGAGATGTACTTTCTTCCCAGTAAAACAATCTGGGCCCTTCTTTAATCTTTAACAACCAAACAAGCCAGGCTCGTTGCTAGGCAGAATAGGGCATACGACGTCCTTTATTCATCCCATCTACCATTAAATAAAGAGACTGTCCCAAAACCTAACAATCTTATAAACAACGTACTCACAACAGTCCTCTCTTGTCCTAAAGACCCAACACAGTCAGCAAGTGAGGAAGAGAAATACATCATCAGATATATGATCTCGGCCTCGTTTTCTCACCTTAGAGGATTTGGACGCATCCAGGTACCAGAACTTGATATGTCTGTTACCAGCAGTGACAAAATAGCTGCTATCCTCGGAGAACGACACAGCTGTCACCTTGCTTGAGACCTTATTGGCTGCCACGACAACATTTTTCTGTCGGAAAGTACAAAAAACACTCTTTACTTACTGCCACAGATCATGGATACTCAAGGTCTGCCATAAACGTTTATTAATAATGATACAGATACCCAGGACAGTCTAGTGCATGACAACATATGGCAACAGTATGACCAATATTGACACAGTCCCTCAATAGATAATCAGTCTGTGATTAAAGCTTCCGGTGCAGCGCACTGTTTAATATACTGATCTCTCTGTACAACACACTGTCAATAAACACAGTTATCCCTCTGTCAACACACTGTTTAATAGAAAGAGATCTCTGTGTAACATACTGTTTAATATACAGAGATCTCTGTGTAACACACTGTCCGGTACACACACTTCTCTCCCTTGTGTAACATGCTGTCTAATATAGAGATGTCTCCACGTAATGCTGTTTAATGTGTAGAGATCTCTCTATATAACACACTGTAGAATATAGAGATCTCCCTGTGTAACACGTTGTTCAGTACACACACAGCTCCATGTGTAACACGCTGTTCAGTACAC